TTACGGCACACACCGTGCTTTGTAGCTAGGCAGAGAACAGGCCTGCACTTCCCCTGCAGACTGCTATAAAAGCCAATTAAGTTGTTACTTAATTTTCCTCATTTTTTTTTTTTTCCCCATTACACACAAGGGGAAGCAGCTGAAAGTCTCCCCTAGCAACAGTATGTAAAATTTAAAGTAAATTATCCCCAGTGATTCAGCTGGCTTATTGCTACAAATGCCTTCTGACTGTGGTGCATGGACACACTGAGCTGAGGAATGGGTCCCTCCTAGAAAGCTCAGTGTCTACTTAAGGGGGTGCACAGAGTGCTTATGTTCATCATAGCTCTGATTACGTCCCAGCCCAGCTCTGCCTCAGCTACCAGCTCTGGAGACAAGTGGAGTGTCACTATCCAGCCAGGCAGGGAGCTCTGAGGTACAGAAATCACACAAATATCCTTCTGCAAACCCAAATCCATGCTTATGCAGTTTTTGTTCATAGAATCATACAAGCATGAAGGTTGAAAAAGACCTTTAAGATCATCTTGTCCAACTACCACCACCCTGCCCACTAGACCGTATCCCTCTTAGTACTACATCTACCCTTTTTTTTGAACACCTCCAGGGATGGTAACTCCACCACCTCTGTGGGCAGCCCATTCCAGTGCTTCACCACTCTTTCAGAGAAGATTTTCCTAATGCCCAACCTGAACCACCACTGGTAAACTTGAGTCCGTTCCCACTCATCCTTCTTGAGCCGCATGGCCAGGAATAACACATTCCCTACAGCCATGTGTGTGTTTTCTCACCCCTTGTAGCTCAGGCAGTAAAAAACCGTGCTGCTTCTCCTTCCACCCAGTGCCCAAAGCCTGAACGAAACATCAAGTAATTATTTGGCAACTGCTGCAGCAGCAGCTTCCTGTAGGTTATCTTAATGGATTTATCGCCCTGAACTAAACCCTGACCATCTGCTCTACTCTCTAATTACAAATGCAGAAAGAACTAATTCACGACTGCATCATAAAAAAGTGAAATAGAAATGATTGAGGAGCAGGGTAAGCTCTGCTCCTCCCTCCAGTGGGTTGTGCTCCCCAACAACAGCTCTCCTCTTCCCTAGTGAGTGGCAACTCCTGAGGAACGGGGCTCACCAGAACAGGTTTTGTTCCCTCTCATTCATTTGGTTGTATCGTTAAATCTGGGATTCACATAAACGCTGTTACAAACCTTTCCTTCTCTCTCAGATGATCCCCAAAACACGTAATGCATTTTCTAATCAGGAGAAGCACAAAATGAAGCTGATGAAAAATACCCTAAAACTCTTCATTTCCTCCAATTCACAGTGAAACCCCTTCACTCACTGCAGACACGTGGAGCCAGCGCCTGGCTTTGTGCTGCTCACTCATCCCCACCTTAGTGCTGCTGGCTTGCGAGAGCAGGGGCTGAGCGCCCGTTGCCACTGCCCAGGAACCAATCTACTGAGAAGGACCAATTCATAGCACATAGGTCAGGTCAGGAAGATGGGAGTATCTCAAAATGAGTTGCTTGGCCCTGGGCTTTGGAAAACTTTTTTTCCAGCTATCTAGAAACAGACTGTGATTTCCTCAAGTGCATTTGTTACTTGAGAAGTAAGAACTGTGTCAGAGAGCGGAGCAGTATGAGAAGTTGATTCACAGATAGAATCATAGAACCATCAGGGCTGGAAAAAAACACTGAGATCACCTAGTCCAACCCCACCCCAACTCTCACCACACCCACATCCCTCAGGGCCACATCTGCACAGCTCCTCCAGGGACAGTGACTCCACCACCTCCCTGGGCAGCCTGTGCCAATGCACCACCACTCTTAGTGAGAAGGAACTTCTCCTACCATCCAACCTGAACCTCACTTGGTGCAACTTAAGGCCATTCCCTCTCATCCTATTGCTGTTACCCGGGAGAAGAGGCTGTATGACAGCAGCAATCTACCATGGATAAATTGTGTCTGAAGAGAGCCTATTTATCACAAAACATGCTAGTTTCTCAACTTTAGATATTAGATGTCATGAACAAAATCTCTTGTATCTTGGGACACAGAGCAGAAACTTCACCTGTATCCTTTCTAATTTGTTCCCTAACACCAATTAAAATTAATGACATTTTGAAAATCCTTTTGACTCTAGAATATCCTTTTGACACAGTTGGCCTTTAAGGACTCTTCTTTCAAGCTCTGTCACTAAAAGCTTCCTGTGCAGAGAAGCTGAATTAAAAAGGAATTTAGTACACTCCATTGCTATTACACTTTTTGATGATTTTTTTTTTTTTTTTTTTAATTTTCCCCACCAAATCCTTACACCCTTTTATATCTAGAAAGAGCTGCTCATTTGTTGAAGAACATAGGTTAACACAAAAAACTAATATCAGAAACAATGAGATAGCTTAGGGACATCTAATGGAGACAGCACGAGAAGAACAAAGCAGCATAGACAGGGCCTGCAGGCCGGGAGCTCCCTGGTGCCCCACTGCTCAGCCCATTGCAGCAGGGTGTGGGCTCCCCGGAGCAGCTTCTGCTCCACAGGAAGGCTGCACTGTGCTCTGGAGCAAGCCTGCGTGATGCTAGCACCTCAAAGGGGAGCGTGTTGCATGCTATGGAATCCATATAGGGATTTGTTGTATTCGGCAGTTTTCTGCAGCAGTCACAAGGGAGTGATGGGGAGCAGTAGGCAGATTTTGGAAGACTAGAAAATGCTGCACAACCAAACAGCGCTGCACTTTTTAGGAGAGCCTTTTACTAAAGAGTTGTGAGCTTTTTGTCTCATAGCCTAAAACAGGCCTTTGGCTGTGGCTGCCCAGCCTGAGGAGGTCAGACCTTCCAGCCGGCCATTTGCCTTCAATAAATGTCCCTCGGCATTTATTCAGCTTCAAGCAGGAGCTTCTTTGGTTCTGCTTTGCGCACAGTTTTCATAGATGGCATCTCAGCATGTCAGTGAAACATCAATGAGCTGGAAGAGCAGGCTGGTTAATTAGCATGCAAATAGGCTCCCTCCTTAATGAGAAAGAAGCTTTTACTAGCTCACTGAGCCCCCAACACATGAGTTCCTGCTATGTCCTACAAATAACATTTTTATAGGTCAAAGACACACATGAGCACATTTTTGCCCCCACATTGCTGGCATTGCTGCACATACACCACCTGTATCTGAAGTGTGAATCCTGCCTGGTAACACTGGACAAGGAAGGCCAGGTAAAGTCATCCCAATATAACCGATATCTTTCAGTGTCAGAGGTAGCATTTTTATAATAGAAAAATAATTAGCTCATTAAGAGGTCTAAGGAGCTTTTCATTTATCAGCAAAGTCCTGCTCTAATGGCCACACTGGTAAAGAGCAGGAAACAATCACACCCCACAGCCACAGAGCAGTCTAGCAAAGCCCATGGAAAGGCACTGGAGCAGAGCCCTGTGATCCTCCCCTGGGTGACATCTGCGTGAGGCATAGCCCCTGAACTGCAAACTGCTCTGGAAATGTAGAAATGTATTTGTGCCATGTTCTTAACCTTTGCTTTATCGATCATTACTGGAGATAGGCTACCTGGGCAGACAGACTCTTGCCATCCTTCATTCTTCTGCTTTGCTGTGATGGCATATACAACGGTTTCTATGCATGCTGTTTTGGGGCTTTGCATCGTCTGGGGAATTTTTTGCTTATTTTCAAGTTTTCTGAGGAAAATAGGTACTGCATGAATTATGGGGGGAAATGGCTCTTGTAAAAACCACCACGAGAGCTATGAATATGAGTATTAATGCACTTTTCTATTTTAACCAAGTTGGCACGTTAGCCAGTAAAAGCCTATTGCCTCTGCACAGCCTCCATTTTGACACTGTGTTGATAACAAGTTGGATTTTTGGAGAAGGGAGTCACGTAATAGAAGAGGTTCAGATTCATGCAGAGGACCTGTTGATGAATTAGTACACCATCATCCCAAATTCATATTCACCAACAAAAGATTTATTTGTTTTTGCCTGAAGCCAAGTTATACACACACACACAAATATATATATATATATATATAAGATTTTGAAAGTTCCTGTTGGATTTGAAAAGAAATATTTGTTTTGCTCCATAAGTTCTGGATCCTTCTCAGGGTCCAGAGTTAAATAGTTACTGATGTTTACTGGGGAAAGTGTTCAGTTTCTACAATGCAAGGGAGCATAGAGTTTGAAGGAGTGACATGCTAGAAGTCTTCTGCTATTGCTGTTGTTTAGTAAAATCAGAAAATATATGAAATGCATTAATTCCATGAATTAGACAGCAGTTGTCCCTTGCTGGAAAAGATAAAACAAGTGGAAATTAACCTGGATGCTCAACTACTGATCAGAGACCAAGGGCGATAGAGGGGAAGCATGGAAACATTGGTATGCTGCTGCCAGCAATCTGTACTGCCTCTGCATATACTTTGGGGAAAATAGAAGAATCCTTCTCTGTAGCCACGTGTAGCTACAGAAGCACCCCTCAGAAATGTCTCTGAGCCAGCAAGCTGATCTAAAAAGACTGAAATAATCCACTTAGAATCCTGTTTGCCATAACAGTCTCTATACATGCAGAACAAGCAGACAGAAGTATGCTGGTCAAGGCATTAGGTCCTCCCATATCAAAATCCCACTGACAGCACCATTATCTTCAGTCTGCCGCTTTGCTGGTTCACATTCATTAGAAAGGTAGAAATCACAGAATCACATAATCCTTAGACTTAGAAATTAAAGGGAGATTGCAAGCACTAATTTATAAATCATCTCTCTCCTCTGTGGCAGGACAAACTATTTACTTTTACATAGAGTATATTATCCATAATTATAGCAAGTTCCAAGAAATATAAATGGAATGTTTTCCCCAGAAGCAAAGCGCACTGTTGAAGAACCACAAGTTAAAAAAAAAAAAAAAAAAAAAAAAGTAGTTTGGAAATAATTTAAATCTATATAATAAGCACAATATATCAAATATGCTTGATCTACTAAATTTTAATTTTAGTCTTAATGTAGTACCAACACTAACAGCCTCCACTCCCTCCCTAATTTCTAAGAACTGAGGCTGGCTATGTAAAATATGATTAATTCCATGTTTAGAACAACATACCAAATACAGATATCTAAAGTAAATTCTAAGAAAATGAAGAGCGTCTTTCAGCAAACGTCTGTAGAAATGTATGCATTTCCTTTGGACTGCAACCCCCTTTTGTTTCATAGATTACAGCATATAATCATCTTAAAACGCTTATTTTTGAGAAATTTGGGTGTGATTAAATATATTTGTACTGATCAGCCTCTACACTTTCTTGTTTCATCAGAAAGCCCGGTACAAACATCAGATCTACAATATACTCTTGAGGAGGAAGCAGAAGCCCAGTTACTCCTTGAGGAGAGTCATCAACCAATTTAACTTCATTCCAACCTCTGTTATACTCGCCACGAACTAAACTACAGCCAATTCCAAGTCTGTCTGCTATCACCTAAAAGAGAAAGAAAAGGTGTTAATCATTTAATACAATTGGCTTGTGTGATAGCGAGTGATGCTTAAAAAGAGCTTTCTTGATACAGTCTGTGTAAATATCTGTGGGGTTTCCAAACTGCAAATATTTACTGTTGGTTGTGCTTAGACAGACTGCTTATAGATGCTGTTTCTACTACATTATATGCACTGCATAAAAACTATTCATTTTTACTCTTCTCAGACACCAACATATTCATGCATCAGCCTGTCTTTCAGATCTCAAATGAAGAACAGAATCCACACTGCACTGAAAGGTATTCTTTTTCCTGGAAGACTCTGTTTTGCACAATATTCTGAAGAACCATTAACACAAAGTAATGATATGTGTACCTTGCATATTTTGTATGCACTGTTAAGTGTAGAAAGGTAACATTTTTATCAGTGTTAAATTTAAGGTCGCTGCTTCACTCCAAAGCATGCTCTTTGCTCTTCAGCACCTTCAGTGTATGAAGCAATGAAACATGAGGTGAACTAGATAGAACACCTCCATGGCCTCAGCTCTACGTTGTCCCCAGCAGTGCTGCAAGGGCTTCCAGATACAAAAAAACCTCACTTTCTCAGAATGCATCTGCTGTGAAGAAATAAAATTCTGAAAGATTTTTACTTTTACAAACAAAGATATTCCAGACTGAGATTGTGGAGGCTTTAAGAGAGAGGATTTGTCCCTACAAATGTTTCTTTGGAAACATAATGGTGAGAGGACAGTGGATGGTAAGAGAACTTCAGTACTGCTTCAGCACAATTAATTCCTTCTCTCATACCTCCACAATGCATGTCAGGAACTTTCTCTCCCCATGAATGTCATATATTTTGCATTGTACTCTTTCTCCCTCTATATTATTTCCTAGGTCCTCCCCACTTAGTGTCTAAGCCCTTCTTCTCTTTTTCTTTTCATCCAAGGAGAAGAGGCCAGCTACCCAATAGCCGAGGAAAAAGGAGAGCACAGATAAACAGGCTGACATGAAGACAGAGGAAGAAACAAAGCTTTCTAGTCTATGCAACTGGAACATAAAAGCTGTTATGCATTGTCACAGAATACTGGACAGATAATGAATAGAAATGGTCCCAGCATATTTACATTTGCAGCATCCAAAAATCCCCCAGGAAACTGCATAATTCAATATTTTACAGTTTACAGAAAATATAAAATGTTTTGACTACCAAACAAATATCTTGACTTTTTGCCGTTTATCAAGTGTTCTGCTGATATCACTTAAGACAATTTAATGAGAAAAAGAATGTTTACAAAAAGAAGCAATGCTGGCTTTCGTTCACTGGGAAATCAATTTTGCCAGTAAAATATGTATACACTTCTGTAGACTTAGACATATACACAAGATATTACATTAATATAAATATTAGATTACTTTAGATTACACTGATGCAAACATACTCTAGTTTTAATATCCGTTTAGCAAAAATAACATTACGTTATAAAGTAAATGTTAACATACCTTGAAAAGTAAAGCCCTGTGGTAAAATGTTCCTTTTTTAACTTTCCCAATAGGCACAATGTTGGATTTCAGTTCAAATTTTATTTCACTTATGTGTAGCTCCCAGCTGAAATCGTGTAGTTTGTCTCTTTCAATTGCACCACCCATTTTGTCTGCAACAAACCTGTTCCAATGCACACCAGGATCAATTAAACCTACAATGCCTCTTGAATTTATCATAAAATAGAAGGTACAGAAGCAATAAGAGAATGATATATACAACTCTAACACTGTTGCTCTGAATGCTGTAATTGTTTTATTTAGTAGCCTTTTTTTTATTTATAATATTATCTACAGTTAAACATTACTGTAAACATAAATATCACAGACCAAAGACAAAGCTGCCAGCGGTGATTCTGGAGAGGTCTAGCGTGGGCACCAAATACTCAGAGAACATCCTCATCAAAACTGAAATCAGTGAGTAAATAGTTCAGAAACTAATGTTCACCTCTGCAGATAACAGATTATTTGAGCAATGTAGTGCAACCCCCAGCCCTGGCATTTGAAATTTTAATTAAAGCATGAGAATATGTGACAAAAATAATCATAGACAACATTCACAACATGGAAAGTAACTACACCCAGAAAGGGTACCTCAATCTCTACATGTGTTTTCTTATGCCAAAGCCAACATTTGGGCAGGAGGTTATCTTTATCCTTAAAAATAAATAAATAAATAGTTTAAATAAAGAAAGAAAATCAGAACCCACAAGCTATGCAAACACTGCCAAGAGAGTGCCTTCTGGGTGACTGTGCACAAACAGGATCCAACTCTGATTTGTACATCCCTACCTCCTCTCACACACATCTTCACCTCCCCTCTGCCACAGCTCCTCTATGCACAGAGCTTTGTTCCTCTCGGTGTCCTCAGATGAAAGCATGGGTATTATTGAGGGCTGTGAACAAGGTGCTGCAGAGCTAACATGACAGTCACTACCTCAGACTGGGAGCAAACTTTTGCATCACTGCCTCCATAGTAAACCTATGCAAACAGGTTTTAGTCTCACATGCATGCAAAACAATTCAAGGGGTCTTATTTCTCAAAATCCAGGGTTTAGGGAGGTGCTGGTAGCAGCAGCACAGGAGTTATTGCGGAGCAGACTGGATGTGGTAATGTGAAGCTAGGAATTACAGCATGAGCCTGAAGAAGCAAAGGGGTCCAAAATAATCTCTTGTGCTGCTCTTGCCTACAGCCAGCTCTCAATAAAGGGAGTGAAGGCCCCTCAGCTTACATGCACACCACTCCTGCACATGCACAAAGATGTGCTGCACTTGTTTAAAAGGAGGCAGCCAGTACCATGGTGCATTCCCCAACCCATGCCAGTTTCCTCCCAGCAAAGACAGTATGGATGTGCCTGGGCTCCTGCAGCTGCCTCCTTCTTCCCTGATAATTCAGCACATGCTATCCAGACACACACAGAAAACGCAGCATATGAATACAAATCCCTGCAGAAAACATTCTACTTCAGTTCTTGATAATCGTTTCACCAGCTTGTGTATTTGCAAATATTTCATCTGTATGTCTGAAGAGTGGATTTGAAGGAGTATTTTATGAGTTCCACCTTGAGAAAGACGGTGTAGTTTATACACAGCTAGATAGTTAAGAATGAATACTCGTCTAATTTTGCAATCAACAGAGAAGACAGTCCTCATATCGTAGTGGACTGCTTGGTTAAAAAAGAGGTTAGTAGAAAGAAATAAACAAATTTTGAGAGACTCAGTGGGATCTGACACCGAACTCTCCAGGAAACTGCTAAGATAGGAAAGGTTAAACTAAGGAGAAGATGAAAGAAACCACACTGCTTGGAAATGACAGTGATTGGTGCCTAGGCTGAGTGGCCAGCACTACTAATGAATCACACATTGATAACAAGTGTGTGTACACACATCATTGCAATGTTCTGGCACTATTAAATCATCAGGATGTTAATTATAGTAGCACCTGAAAACTCCTTTTAAAACTGTCCTGTGCTTTTGGTACAGAAAACAAAATACAAGAGAGTTCTTACCCCAAGGTATTTTTAAACTTACAGCGCAAGAAGGATCCTAAGACAAGGAACAGACATAAGTTGCAACAGTCTCAACCATTGTGCAGTTTTTTCTTCACTGACAATGCTTGGTTAATTACAGACTTTTTTTCTGCAATGGTTACATCCCACTAACTGGGTGCATGCATAGACAGCAGCAACTGCACAAAGTTCTACATACAGGGAATTAAAAGGGCACCTCCTGGGAATCTGGACCCCCTCTTGCAGAACACAAAATTTTTGCATTTGGGTCAGTTTTTTTTTAAACCCTCATCCAAAACCCACTGGAGTCAACAGAATGTTCACAGCAATTTTGGGGCTGTGAGTAAATAATGGCAAGTAATGCTTCTTTCTAGTTGTTTGCTTTAAAATCCAGGGGGAAAAAAAACATTAGTTTCTCTCCTAATGTTTGATTGCTGTTCAACAACCTTCAGGGCATTATCACAGCCAAGATGACAAGTAAGAATAAGGGTCATCTGCATTATCACAAAATATGTGCAGTGTGAAGAGGAATGAGAGGGGATATATTTCATGAAACAAGCTCTCTAATAAAAGGAAATTCTCAGAATTAAAATATTTTAAATACTTTAAAGACAGTCTTCATTGTGCATTCATTTGGAGAACAAACAGGAAAGTTTACAGTAAAACGCTGGAAATCCTGACTTATCAGAAATGCTCAATGGAAAGGCTCATTACAGATGTACAGATGTCAAAAACCTGAAGCTGCCAACATGAGTATTTTCAGAATGAGAAAATTATACCCCTTTGTTGCAAATGATACTTTAATTACTTTAAACTAATTATAATAAAATAATAAGAAAGAAACAAAATCAAAAATCATATTAAAATACCAGGCCAAAGCTGTTTTTTGATTCCAATTATGGGTGGGAAAAAGAACAAACTTGAAAAAGTTGTCCTGTGAAAAGAAAACTGTTATTTTACCAAATCAACTTTGTTGCATTATTTATAGAAATATAATTAGGTACTCACTGTGCAAGAGCCACAACCTGTTCCCGAGTAGTGGTGAGTGGTAGAATTGTTTTAGAAGCATCATTAATATAATTCATTAACATGAAGTCGGGTGGTGGTTGCCACTGGACATCTTCCAGATTTATTTCATCCTGGACTTCAGACATAATCTCAACTTCTTTCATTTTTTCTTCTTCTTTCTTCCCTTTCCCTTTTCTTACATAGAAAAAAAAATACATTAGAGTACTGTTACTTCTAAGGTCCAAATCCTGAACAGGTCCCATAACCAACTAGCAGAAGACTAAATGAAATGCTTGCTTTGCTCAGATTAAACACTGTGCATTTCACAAGTTTCGTAGGAACTACAAAAATCAGCATCTCACAGGGGCTATTATTAAGGTCCATAGAATCAGATATTTTAGGATTTTTTATTTGTGGGAATGCATAGAACTTGTGTTTTATAAGCATTATGTCTTTTTTCAGCATGCATCTTGAGTAATTCTACAAGGAAATATGACAAAATTCCTTTCTTTTTTTTTTAAATCCATAATACTGCCATCATTCTTGGAAGAAAAAGAAAAGAAACAAAGGGCCACAAGAGAGTGTGCTTCAGGGTACAATATAATTACTGTATGCTCTTCAAATTATTCTTAAAATTTTTACAATGAATGGCACTCTTAAGACTTAAGAAGGCATTGTACAAAGCAGAAAGGCATTTACCATTATCAGCAGTCTAATTCAAGCAATTTGCCTTCAGAATATTTTTGAACTTTTACCTATTAAGATTTATCATATTCACAAAAAGTCCTTTTCATAGGTTTCAAAAAAGTACATTTTTTAGAAGGACAACCAATTAAGATTTAATCTTCAAAATATAGAAAATTCACCACTGTCTTAAATAAACTGTTCCTAATTACACTTGCACTCCAAAAAAGCAGGCAAACTGTTTTTGTTACCTATTTTGACCCTATAGCCAGGGGTCCTTATAATAGTAGAACAAACAACTACTACTCAATTTATGCACTTAGGTATTATGCTTAAAAATAACTTGTTAAAGGGAACAATATCAGAATGGACTCTCACCTGTCCAGTATCTGATTTACCAGCTTTTCAAAATAATAGACATCTATAGATAGCATATTTCTTGCTCTTTGACTGTTTTTTTCCCTGCTCCTCCCCTTTATCCTCTTAAAACATTCTCTTCCCAATGGGAAGTGTGCCAAGTGATTATGCTACAAGAGGAACACAATCTTTTTTACTCAAATGATGGTTGGATCGCTTTTATTCTCCTTCATCCCAATTTTTCAGGAAGAAAAAACTCAATAGAAGGGTGCCCACCCTTCTCTTACTGGTTTGTTTTCTTGCTGCTTATTTCCTGGAGGTACGACTCCATTCTGCTCCTTGGTGAAGTGGCTGTTTTAACGTCTTCTACATCTGTCTCTGTCCTGCTCCTCAACAGTCCATTATATGTGTCTAAAAATTTGTCTCATAAAGAACTGCATCTTACAGCTGAAGGCTGTAAAATGAACAGTGGCCGTTGCAGTAGGCTTCTACTAACCTTTTCATATCCTCTCTTTTTATCCCCATTTTGTTATGAGAATTATGACATCAGAGGAAAAAAAAAAACCACTCCTATTTCTGAAAATTGCCTTACTGCTCATGATGAAGTTGTTCAGAGAGAAAGTGGTGAGGTGCTGGCACAGGCTGCCCAGGGGTGTAGATGCCCCATCCCTGAAGGTGTTCAAGACCAGGTTGGATGGGGCCTTGGACAATCTGCTCTAATGCCAGATCTGGAGGTTGGTAGCCCTGCCTGTGGCAGGGGGGCTGGAACCTGATCATCCTCAGGGCCCCTCCCAGCCCAAGCCATTCTATGATTCTATGACATGCTACAAATGCAAAGCAGTACTGCAGAGGAGAATTAACCACGGTAAATAGTTTTCAGGCTGCTAGGATTCCTGTTTTGCAAGTTCAGGACAAATGTCCTGTAGAACACCAGAGAGCGAGCATGAGGAAGACAGCAGCCAATGCACTACACTGCCACCAAAGAACAGCAATTGCTCCTTTTTTGTTTTCTTTTGTGCGCAATAAAATCTCTTGCCTGTCTTTCAAAAAGGAGTAAATATGAGCATTGGAAAGTATATTCTTTGAATGCTCTGTAAGTATACAGCATGCAAGAGATACACGTTTATCAGTCTATGTTAAAGTTAACATTTTAGTTCAGTCACTGTATATATCAGATATGCAACTGCTTGATCAAAAATGTTGCTATCTGCCTATGCAAATACATGTCAAACTATCAGCGAGGCACCTTCTCTACATCTAATTCAAACACTTCCAGCAGACAACTATAATTCTCCTTTCTCTTAGCTTTCAACTACAGTTTATATAAACCAGTATCACTTTTCAAAAACAGTGGTTTTAAACTGTGTTCAGTGGTACTTTGCAAAATAATGTTGAACAGAAACGTATGATCAAAGGAAAAAAATATGTAGAAAAAAGTATAAGCATGTTTAAGACTTGGAGTCAGCCACTGACCTCCAAGTAACTTCCATATATCTCACAAATTAATAGTAATAATGATGTATGAATTATGGATTCAAAATGAATGACAATGGGGTTATAAATCATGCAACTTGATTATGACATTCAAAAGCAATTATTTTATACTTGAAGAAAGAAGTCTTTGTATCCATGCAAGTTCACTATTGGGAAATTGAGCCAGGCATTTGTTTTTTCTTAATGAAAATTTCTGCTTTCCACAAGAGTTAAGATTGCTAACAATGCAGTTATTTATTTACTGTGTAATTGATACAAATTATATTGGTCATTTCACAAGTAATGCCTCCTGTATATTTCCATGGAAACTGCAACAGATATGAAGAGCACAGTAACGCTATTTGATAGAGAAAATTCTCAGCTATAGAACACTATTTTTCAGTATAGTCACCACCACTAGCTATGCATTTTCACCAGCAATGAACAAGAGCCTGCATGCTGTGCTCACAGAAGTCTGCATCGCTGCCCAGAACATGGTTTGTCTCTCATGTCACTGTCACCACTGCTGAAATGCATCACCCACTACTCACTGGGCTCACATTTATGTTCTGGTCTCCAGAAACATTCAGCAAGCATCAGTGAACATCAATGGGTGCAATTTTTTCCACTTGGAGGAATTCAATTCCACACCTTTGCTTCACATATCCTTTCAAGTGAGACACCATTTTGTCAAACTGCCCCTCTGCTGTCATCTGGAATAGGATATTGGCGAGAAGGTTCAGCCTCTACTGCCATACCACCAACATTCGCTTCTGACACTGTGGGCCAAAACTACAAAATAGGAGGCATTATGTCTGGAGCAGCCCTTGTACATTAAAAAGCAACTACCTAAGGGTTCCGTCACAGAAATAAACACACTTTCTCGTCAGAACAGGTCTCTAAGCTCTGCACTTTAAGACTGTGCAAAATAATCTCAGTCTCTAGAGCCTCTCCAGAAATGACAAATGCCCACAAGTACAGAGCAAATATTATTGGCTTTGTACTCCCCCATCACTTCTGCTCCCTTTAAGTAAACTGTCATAAACATGGGATGGACATCAGGAGGACCATCCAAATCAGCAGATGTTACAGTAGGCCTGGTAAGAGACTAAAGATGCTTCCTTTGCATCCCAATCCAAGAACCTTGCACAACATCCAGGTGGCAAGTAGTTCTTTTTTCTTTTGTCTTCTTTTTCCTTTTCTTTTCTCTGTCTTAGCAAACAGTTGTTATCTCAACCCATGAGTTCTTTTTTGTTTCCAATCTCTCCCTTTCTCTTGACTGGGAGGAAGTGAGCAAACAGCTGTGTGGTGCTGAGCTGCTACTAGGTTAAACCACAACAAACTCATTTCAGGTATTTAATATGAAATGATTTAAACTGAATTCCAGAAGTACATACAGAATTACTAGCCAAATTGTGACTCAGTAACTTTTGGCTAGCTTAATCCCGCAATTTGGTTTGAAGTCAGAACTGCAACACTTGACCATCAGCAGCTATTATCTATCAAAAATTTGATTTCATTTCTAAATGAATATAATTCAGAATGTAACACCTTAAAGCTTTTTCTCTACTGCGGGTTGTGCAGACCAAAAGACCTTCCATATAGCTCCCGTTTTTCCTCCACTGGAGATACCATTAAGCTATTGAGATCACAAAGCAAGTTCCAATTTTCCCTTGTCTTTCTTTACAGCACATTTAATCTCCCAGGCACAAACTCATACAAGCACAGAAATACACAGCAGTGCAAGAAATCAGCAATTACCTCTATCAATAAAAGGTCTGTATAAATAGTAGCATATCACAGTTCACGGATGAACTCCAAGCTGAAAATTGCAACCGTGGTGCCCTTGTTCCTAAGACAGACACTCGCCTTTTTGCAACCCTGAAACTATTAGTATTCTGTAATACTATCAGTGATGAGAATTCACAGCCCTTAGAAGTGGCTAAGGACCTCTATACTACAAAACTAGATAAATTTGGAAGTCAGGACTGAGACCCACAGAAACCAACATAATAAATGGTTGTACCCCTAAGTTAGCAAACATAAAATCTGAGTACAGTTGTAGGCTGTATCGTGTTCCTATCAAGAATTAGACACCATCCCCCAGATTGCAAGGAGGTCCATTTGGACTGGCTTTGCAGTCCTGAGCATTCCCCTGGAACTAGAGATGTACTCCTGCCTTCTCTAAAAGGCACCCCTGCAGCAGCAACTGTGCAGCTGCTCAGTTCAGGTGAACTGAACTGAAGGTGAGTCAGTCCAGCTGGAAGACTATGGTTCACTTTTCCACAGTAACAAAATTTAATTGAAATACTTAATTTATAAGTCATTAAGACAAGGACAGAAAAAACGCCTTCACAGACAGAGCTTTCTACTATATCTGTTTTGCCTTTCTAGGAAAGCTAGTGAAACTGCAACAAACCAGAATAAGACTGGTAATCCCCAAGCATCAAGCAGGGTCAGGCTCAAATACTTTTTCTATAGAAGAACAGAATGAATTTTCCACAATGAGATTAGAGATTTGTATCTATTTGGTAGAAGACGACCTGCTCACTAGATCAGACCCACAAAAAGGACTAGTAAGACTGTACCTGATGTACTGTATGGATCAGAGGGAGCTCTCCAGAGCGAGGCATTTTTAGGCTTATTGCTGTCAAAATTGAGATAGTACTGAACACACTCTTCACTGCTTTCAGTCACTTGTAGAATTTCACTGGAAGAAATTTACTCTATGAAAAAGGATGGATGTGAGCAGTAGAGGGACTTCTTACTCATAGGTGTAGGTTTTTTATTGAGAAAGAACTACCCTAATTTCCCTGTTGCTTAATTGTCAAGTTGGAAAATTATTGCATTTCACTGCCTCCTATGGATACTGAAAGGAAAAACAGCCAAATAAATGAGAGATGTTCAAATACAGTATGGGGAGGACTAATAACTACCTAGATAGACAAATGAAGATTACTGCTATTAGGTTGTGAAAGAAAGACCCTGAAAACCTATTTAAAATTGTATTTGAGCTATCGTACTCTGTTAGGAAACTGTGTATTACTATTTTCAATCAGAATTATATTTTTAACTTCAGCACAATAACAGAACACTGATAACTAGTAAATTGCAATACCATACCTTACTTTTTCTCTACTACTTTTTCTTGAAGTAAAAGGTGACAAAGTAGTCTGTTCATAAGATAAATGCTGTGGCTTTTCCTCTACCGCAAGGACACTGCAAAGAAGATAGTATTTGCATGTTAAATTATGAAAATAGAGCTTTAATTTAAAGGACATTAAATATATTAATAAGAAATATATAAGAGGAAGAAATAATAGAAATAAACACAATATTGATTCAGAGATCAAATATAAAGCACAGGATACCAATGATGGACAAGTAACTGAGTAGTAGGATTGAAACTAAGGTGCAAAGGCAATAAGCTGTATGAAAGTCAAAGAAAGAAAACCCAATAGTTAAAAGACAAGCATAGAGATCAACAAAGAGCACAAAAGGTTAATTTGTCATAGATATTCTCAGACATCTTTATGGTGTCGTATACAAGCTTAAAAGGGAAGCTTCTGATATTGTAAACTAAATATGTGATGTGTTGACAGAGAAGAAGATTTTGGATTTGCAAAATACTGGTAGAGGATTCTTTGATCTGTGGGACTGTTTATACAAAATGACTCCCAGTTAAACAAGGCCAATACCAACTTCCTGCATTCAAATCTTAGATTTGTTAGGCTGGTTTCAGCTTAAACAGAGAAGGAATTGACATTGATTCTCTATCAAGCCCAAAAGCCTTGTGCTGCTTCCTGGGACGTTGTGCTTAAAATTCCATGCATTTGTCTGCACACAAAGATAATCAAATCATAGGTTTAATTGTTGCGTGTTGATGTTCTGTTTTGATGGCATAATTATTACAGCAGATGACAAGCTCTGTTATAGCTATTAATAAAATGAGTGTTCCACCATGAGAAACCAAAGGGTGCTCAGTGAACGAGTCTTCTTCACTAAGTTTTCTAACAGAAAACAGAGCAAATCAAGCGAATAAATATTTTCTGTCTGAAGGGAAAAAATAGTGATTTTACAAATTTTTCTTTTATGAAATACAAATCTCTTGCCTTGTAGGACAGGTAGCACTCTGTTGAAATTGAAATAGATCTCTCACAGTACAAACTACGTAGTACTTTCATATTGGAAACAGTGGAATGGATGGAAAAATGAATTACTGAAATAAATATTACTACATTACTCACTCTTCTTGCGGCTTAGCATTAATGAAGATGATGGCCCGACGGTCAGCAAGCTCTTGCATACTCAGTTCCTCCAAAGACAGAAGTTTTACACCGGGTTTTATCTACAAGAAAATTACAGCAAAAGATTCAGTGGTGTTCTCAGTTAGAAGTGAAGACAAAAAATAGTTTAAGAGTCATATAACATTTCTTATCTTCAACAGAAGACTTGCATGAGAACTTATAAGAATCATTCTAAATATACAAAAACAGTATTCTCCCTATTTGCATTTTCCTTCTTCAATTTTCTTAGAAAATATCATTTATAAATAATCTAGCTTGTAATTATTGTTACTGTGTCATTCTAAAATCTAGGATAAGGTAACATTCCTGACTTTGAAGACACTGCAATTCAGGATGGAATTTTCAAAAGTAAGTAAAAGCTTTAAAGGCATGCATTTCACTGATCTCTCAGTAAGAATAATATTTTTAATTTATTTGGGCATTTTGTAAAGTACTTCCCTAATTTAAACTGAAAATACTAACTTGTGATACATAGTGGAGCCAGTCTTCATATATCAGCAGTGCTGTGTGAGAGAAAAGGTCATGACCAAGGTGAAAATATGAACCCTTCTTTATGTAAAAATAAACGAAAAGTCCATAGGTCATTCAGAGTCAGATTGCTATCAAATATACTGCAGTGAAAGACACCAGAAGAACTAACTTCTGAGAAAGTCCCTGGTAAGGAACTAGGAGCTCAGCAGATTACACAGGATTGTAAGGAGATTGGGAAGAAGACTGTAACTAGGGGATAGCATAAAGATGATAAGATTTCACCATAAAGAAAGATAAACGAAAGAAATTATTATAAAACCCAGGAGACAGCATAACAAGAAAACAAGCAAAGTTATTTTAGGTAGCCAGATGCTGGCTTCCGTTACAGTCTTCTTTCTTTTTTTTCAAAATGAAGAAGAAAATTTTACTGTTTCTAAGAAAAGTAATTTAAAGTAGCTTACCTTCCCATAATCATAGAATCCATCAGTAATGACATTACTTGATGATAAATATCCCATTTGGCTGTACTTCTGGGAAAGATTGTTATCAAGTAGCCTTTCCAGAGCAGCTTCACTAAAGTTATTTCTGCGCCCTGTTGACTGATTAATTTCTTCTAGGATGTCTAGCGCACTGTTAGACGAAACACAATGGCTAATTCATCATTAGGTACCCATTCATTGTCATTACACAGTTTTCAGAATTACCAAGACATGGACTTAATTCTAAGAGCTAGCCTAATGCTGTTTAGACCAGCAAGGAGCTTGCTGTGCTACGATCAAGTCTTTTTCTAGAGGAGAAAAAATGCCTTGCAGTGCTCAAAAGCAAAACCAAATTCTTTTCAGCAGTTAAACTGTTACATAAAAAAATGCTAACAGGGTGCCACAACCTTTTATGAGAAAGATGCTGGGTACTACAGAGAACTGGAGAAAAGAAGAATGTCAAAGCCAAGTAAAAGAAGTTCTGTTCAGAGCTGACTGCAGCATATAGTTCAGGAATCCCTCTCCATCTTGTAACAACTGTAGCAACTGGCAGACTCCAGCTCCCAGTCAGGCAAGGTGTGAATCCTGGTTTAGGGCTGCTCCTGTGCTTGCGAAAGAAACTGACAGAGATGAGCTGAGCTCAGCTTAGCATGGAAACATAAGCAGTTGTGGAAGCAGAACCAGGCTGGCGATAGTTCTGCAGCATGGAAGCAGAAACAAATGATCACGGGTATACTGGAGGGCAGAGATTTATTCCTTGGCTCTGAAATCCACATACTGATAGCTTCTAGCCTGTGAAACTTAGGAAAAACTTACTAGGAAGAGAAAGAAAGTTGAATCAGGAGAAACACAGTTCAGTTTTGAAACTGTTTAGGAATTAAAAAAAACACATCAGGAAAAAAAGAGGAAGATGTATTCATGTGTCAAATTTGTATGTGTATGTCAATATACACGCAGAAATTCTTCATATTCTAAGGAATATATATATATATATTTTTAATATATATTTGTATATATAAAATGGACTCCACAGTTGGCCGGTCCATTTCTCTCTCTGAGCAGAAGGTGCCTCAGCTCTGCACACGTACAAGATAGACTTCTGAAAGTGTGTCAGATGAAATCCAGATAACAAGCTTTGCAGACAAGGCAAGTGGCAACCATCTCTTTTATAAGAGAGCACTGGGAGAAAACAACCACCATTCAGACTATTTGTCATAAAGCAAATCTCAACAAGATCAGGCAATCAGAATGTAAGATAACAAAGGGATTTCCACAGGGAAAATTGAGTCTAGTGAGTATAGCAATGTCTAAAACATGGCATTAGAGGCATAATGGCCTCACATGAAGGAAGGACAAGCCAAAAAGGGAGAAAGTGCAGAAGCACTAACAATACTGTGACTACCTGAAAACCCAGAAATGGAAATATGAAGACTTCCAACAGGGAAGAAAAAGTAAGAGACAAAACCAAAAAGCCTACAGGCAAATTGAGATACAACCATTCAGGGACCCAAAACTAAAATAAATGTTTCATATACTACAAATCAAAGAGAAAAATGTAAGTTTATGACTCAGTGTGGGAAGAAAACTCATAACAGATGGCATAGAAAAGACCGAAGCATCTGCTGCCTTTCTTGCTTCAGTTTTGATAAAATGGTTGCAAACAGATGCCTAACAGCAATTTTAATAAGAAGGTGGAAGCAGTAGGCTTAACACTAAAGCTTCAGAGGACAAAGGTGGCAATGCCTGAGACTTACCTCATACCGCGTTTTGAAATGGCAAAAGCAACTTTTAAAGTATTTGTAATTATCTTTGAAAATCTGAGGAGACCAGGTGAGGAGCCAGAAGAGTGAGAAGGGCATAGATAGTATCTAGATTTAAAAAGAATGAGCAAGGAAATGGTGGAGATCATCCAGCCAAATTTAAGTGTCCGAAGAATATTATATCAGAATACTAAACAATCAATTTGGAAGCATGCAAGAGATAAGGCGGCTTGTAATAGCCATTACGTATGGTTATAAACAAATCACTTAAGGCCAATTTAATTCTTTCTGTGATAGGGTAACTGACTTAATGTACAGGCACAAGGAGTAGATGTGAGATACGTCTTGACTTTAAGATATGTTGCGACTTCAATAAGTCTTTTCAAACATTCCTATTTGAATAGTCACCAGCAAGACAGAGAAATACGATCTATATGAAAATAACATGAAGTAGTGCCTGATTGGTTGAAAAACTATTCTTAATGTATAATTATCAATAATATGCTGTCAAACTAGAAGGACATATAAATTAGAGTCCTACTCCGATGCAACCAGAAAGAAGAGATTAAATAAGAACAGTGCTATATGCAAGATATGGAAAATAATTACTGAGATTTAGTTGATGGTTGTATGACCTCAGCTGAAATACCTCATCCAGGCTGGAAGATAACACTTCAAAACAGTGTAAATAACTGAGATTTAGAGATGTGTGACAGAATGATATCAGACTTCAAAACAAAAAGCAGTTCAATGCTTTTGCTTTGGCATGAAAAGGAAATCGAGAAATTTACATGAAGCATGAGAAATTGCACACACTCATTGAATTATTAAGGTTGGAAAAGACCTCTAAGATCAGCTTGTCCAATTGTCCACCTAACACCAATGTTGTTCATTACGTTCCTTAGTACCACATCTACACAGTTCTTGAACACCTTCAGGAATGATGACCTCACCACCTCCACGGGCAGCCCATTCCAGTGTCTGACCACTTTTCATGAGAAGTTTTTCTTAGTATCCAACCTGAACCTCCCCTGGCACAATTTGAGGCCATTCTCTCTTGTCCTTGGCTATTACCTGGGACAAGTGGCAGACCCCCAGCTCACCCACTACCTCCTTTCAGGCAGTTATAGAGAGTGATACGGTCTCCTCTGAGCCTTCTCTTCTCCAGACTGAACAATCCCATTTCCCTCAGCCACCCCTCATGAGACTTATGCTCCAGACCCCTCACCCTTCTCTGGACACGCTCCAGGGCCTTGATGTCTTTCTTGTAGTGAGGGATGCAAAACTGAACACAGTATTCAAGATGCAGCTTCACTAGAGCTGAGTATAGGGGGACAATTATCTCCCTGCTCCTGCTGGCAATGCTATTTTTGATACAAAATTCAGTTAATTTAAAAAATAAAATGCTATCAAAAGGTATTATTAAATTCCACTGAAATTAGGACAAGATATAATTGGACAGAACTGCTGTAAGGGATATTTAAAACTAAAAATCTTTCTAATTATAAAGATATCTCAGCACCAGAAGAGGTTACCTCAGAAGCTGTCAAACCCTTTCAGAAAGAGTACTAACAATCACACTGGACAAGCTGAAATATATCACTATAACTGATTCAGTCACAGTAGGCAGACAGACAGCACTACATCTGAGGTCTCCTCCAGATCTATTTTTGAGGTCTGACTGCACAATTCCCTCACATATGGGCTCCAAGCATCTGTGCAGCAGCCAGAGAAATGTCCAGCAGAGGGAGCAGGGCAATTACATATATTTCACTTTAACAATAAGAGTCACCTAATATACGAGTCTTGCGACTTATAGCCAAAACAGCTTTTCTAATTCAAATAGTAATATATGGAACTTGGAGTTTTCAAGAAGGAATATGACAGATTCTCTTTAAAATGACAGTTCAGTCCAACTTCTCTTTAACAAAAATTAGCCCTTGTGTAATAAAGCACAGTTCACTGTATGCTGAACCTAGCCTGAAATCTGAACTTCGGTTTCAAGTTTATGGGGCATTTGTAGCCCCCATTTTTTACTAATCTAAGTACATCTTCAATAGAAAGCCTAATTTGATTAAAGAAACAATAAACATATTTATAATTCCTGACAGTTCTTTCTTCAGGCTTGCAGTTTTTCTTCTGTAAAATCAGGACCATTTCAGCTGTACCACTGGCAATACAAAAATAGTTTGTTTACCAAAAAGCACAACTTAATTTTGTCCTTCTGTTATTAATACAGAAAGATCAAGTTTAATAGAGTTATCTCATTAAAATCCTCCCTCTGCTCCTTGATATCATTTCTACTCACCCTAGCCTGCACAGTTCGACAGCAGTTAGTTCATCGCTTGCACAGACCATGACAGCCCAACAGGCATTTCTTCTGACTTCTTTATCCTTCGAATGTAGTAGCTCAACAAGTGGTCCCAATCCACCTGCATCTCTTAACTATAAGAACACGAAGACACAGATGCTGACATATTTCACCTACTTCATTCCAGAAAGAACAACATATTAAATTCTCCATCCAAAGCTTGATTCAAGACTTGTAGACAAGCAATGCTGGGCTGGCAGAAAGGCCATTTATGGTAGTTCTCTGCTTCTGAGCTGCTCTGAGCTGAAGTGAGGTTCAAAAGTGGCACACATCCTTTCTGACTCTCCTTTTCAGTTATAAGATTACAAAGTAGAAATTGAAGATGAAGAGACGATGCAGCCCAGGACTGCCATGGAGAGTTATACACCTTTTTCTGCTTTCTGTTGCTTCCTAGCAACTAATTTACATCACAATCTATCTGAATTTGTATAGTACTACATGTATGGCAATCTTATTAACATTCCATTCTCTCATGTGCTACTATCTTTCCTATAAATGCTGGAAAAAATATTGCTCATTTGGATTTCTGAAGATAAAGACATTTTTAAGGACACTGAAAGAGGTGGATGGATTACCCACTCCCTGATTCATGACCTAAGTAACAGCTTTGACCCTTGAGAGATCTCCAGCTTATGATCTATGAATGCACAGTGCACCATCCCTATTTATGAAAATAATATGACCATTGATAAACAGGGAAAAGTTCAACTAGCTGGATGATACTCATGGAGGAACTAATTACAATTTGAGTTTTGTTTGAATTGCATTTATTCTGTGCACATTCAGTACCTCAAATCAAAATTAGGCACTGCCATTCAGGCCCTGAAAGTGGGCAGTATTAAACACTGAGGGGAGCGATTAGAACTTATCATCTTCAAAATACAGCTGTCAGTTGCAGCTGAAAGAAACTTTAATGCTTAATACTCATAAACATAGGGATTAAGATACAGTCCTGGCTCAAACTCATTAAAGCTACAGAAAAGCTGCATAGGATGAATTTGTGCAGGCTAACGCAACAGTAAAAATAAAAATTGAGGAAAACCTTTTCCAAGTCTTCATAACAAACAGAGGTGAACTCACCTGAATGAGTAACCATGCAAAATTAATTCCTATCTAGAAACCAACTTTTAGAGCAGACAAACAAAACACAGGAATCCTCAGTAAGTGTAACAAAAAGGATTCAGAATTCTTACAAACAATCCCAATCTTGGAGAAGACTTTTACCTCACTTCTTGCGTTAGCATCACAACCAAAGGCAGCCACAGTGAGTGCTGCCCTGCTTTGTACCCGGCTGCTGGCAGAACGTAGCGGCTCTGTGAGCACACTCATCACGCCGTGGCTCTGAATACATAAGCGCAAAGGCTCTTGCATGGCCATATTTGTTAGCACTGCAGCAGCATTAGCAACAGCTTCGTGTCTCTCGGTGTTTAAGGTCTTCACTAAAGGCTCAATTCCTTCAGCTTCTGCAACAGCGCTAAGAAAATGAAGAAAAAAATCTTAGTTATTTTTATGACATTTATTTCCACTTACTGTGTTATATTTACCAATAAAATTAGTCTTGTATTTCAAGAATGTAAAATGTTGTTTACCTGAAATAATTTGAAAGGCCGATGTTTATGTTCTAAATCACAGTGTGAAATAGAAACTAAAAGTTGAATCGTGAAAGCCCTCCTTCTGATGCCTTACCTAGATCTGACTCAGAGAGTGAAGCGCCGCTCAGAAGTCACAACTTAAGAAAGTAAACCAAGCCAGAAATTCCTGGATTCTTCAACTTATTAGGACACTGATTCTTTCAGAAGTTTCTGGTTTTATTACGTTGGTCCACGACGTCAGAGGTGGATGTTAGTGGTGTGGCAGCAGAAGCAGAACCTTCCCACCAATATTCTGTTACATTCTGTTGCCATGGGACAGGTGAAGCAGAGAGGTAGTCTGATAGAACGATGTCTGACATGGAAGTGCAAATGAAGCAAAGGTGTGGAATTTCTCCATGAGGAAAAAATGGCATGCACTGACATATATTGATGCTTGCTGAACGTTTATGGAGACCAACCAGTGGTTATGAGCACAGTGAGGCACTGGGCGGTGCACTTCAGCAGCAGCAACAATGAGTCATCTTCACTGGTGCAGATTTTAAAAGCATGGCATGCAGGCTCTTGTTCATGGCTGGTGAAAATGTATAGCTAATGGTGGTGACCATATTGAAAAATAATGTTTTGTAGCTGAGAATTTGCCCTATCAAATAGTGTTATCCTGCTCTTTGTATCTGCTGTAGTTTCCATGGAAATAAATAGGAGGCATTACTTTCAGAGCAACTTATATGCATCCCAGGACAATTCCTCCTCACTCAGTGTGGCCCACGCAAGCCAGAAGGCTGGACACTCATGCACTAGTACCAAGTTTCATGGTTGCACATCACCAGCCAATCAGTAGCAAACAAGCATTCTCCTTGCTCCCATATGTGCAGCCTGTGCCTGAAGGCTGCTGCTGTGGCCAAGTTCTGAGTTAGACCAGCAAAATAGCTTGTTTGCAACAAACAAACAAACAAACAAACAAACAAACTGGGGGGCAAATGCTGGGACACTTTTGAGGATCCCTTCATAGAGCTAGGTGAGAGAACAGCCACGCACTGGTGAGGAAGCAGTAAATTAAGGCAGAAGACAGCAGATGTGGGCAACTGTACTATTGGAGGCCACATCTGGAGGATCTAAATCTGATGCACTGCAAAACTAACTTCTACTTGACAACAGAACTAAGTCACAGCAGAAGGAACTGGCCTATGAGCACTTCACCTTAACTCTGCTATTCTGCTGCTGGCATTCACCTGAACAGTGCTTCCTTTCCCCCCCTTCCCCCCCACAAATCAACTTCATACCTAATATGTGGGATATAGAATATGTTTGAAAGCAGCTGATGATGTCTCTCCTAAATGACAGTAAGCTCTAGACTACAATTGATGCAGACCCTAGAAAAGAGAGGTTGGTTTTAGCTTAGAGGAAACTACTGTGCTCTAACAAATCTGTATCTCAAATGCTGGATAGGCACATGCTTGGAGTTACCACCTCATTATGTATTCCTTGGTTTCTTTGCCAGAGGCAAAAGAGACTACTGATACAAATATGGTTTATATTCTTCAAACACCATAAGATATTCCATAATTTAAGATTCTTGTTAACCTTCTTGCCAAGGCTTTTCTTTCTACTAAAGAACAGACTCATTTTTTTGTCTGCATCGTCTTACATCTGTATTATCTTAGTTCATTTCAGTGGTAATTTTTCTAATGTCACTATAAAACAGCACACCATAAAAACTGAATTGTCTTCCCACTGGGTTTGTACATAAAATTTGATCAAATGATTTCAGGCATATGCCCAATGTATTGTCTGCCCTTAGTAATTTTATATTGGGCTCATCTGTTTGTTAAACAAAAGTTGGTAATGTTGTTAGCAAAGGAAATACACAGGTGGCAATTTGAATTTTCCATGCAACTGCTTTTTTATATTATCTCTTTAGTACTCTTTCTATCAAAAAGACAATGAAGCCTCCCTGTACAGGCATACCTGAGCACTTTCACAACAAAAAAATCACACAGACTTCATAAGTTTTACTAACTTTCTGGCAGCACATTAATAGGAGAAAGTTGGATGTGAAAATTCTACATTCACTGGAATGGTTTCTTACCAAAAATCTAATTCACCTTTTGGTAAATTTTACAAAGTAAACACAAGCTTAAAATTACTGCATAAACTAGAGGGAGTTACACTAGCAAAGGCTGTCAAATTGTTGATAAAACACAAAAATCTGAGGAATGATGATGGTCAATCATTTCTGCAAAGTATACAAAGCAAACACAAGGCAAACCCTGCTATATAATCACATTACACAGTGACACATGCATCAGTGATTTAATGTACCTACCAGCAAAGTGTGGGAGAGACTCACCACACACGTGCACAGCAAGGCATGTCTGTAAGCTATCAGATTTACAGCATTGCACAGTATATACATGTACTTTATCCAGAAACTAAACAAATGGTTTTCCCTGCATAGTGGATGCATGCAAATTCCGGTGCTTCCAGGATGCACGAGACAGAGCTACTGCTAATGGATTGCATCCCTGGATCTCACAGGTGTAATGCATCCAGCATGTCACCAAAGGGCAGACTTACTACTCCTATGCTACACCCCAGAGCATGCGGATTCTCCAGTAGGAAATCTTAATAGAAACACAGTCCCTACTGACTGACAGAGAGAACAGAGCCAGGTAGTCAACTGCATTATAAGCAGATTTGCTACAATCTGCATAAGGCACAGAAGTACACAGGTACTTAACAAAAGAGCAAGGTGCAGCTCCTCGTGCTTTCAGAGCTGACCTCAGAGCTACACAGCACAGCCAATTTTCTCAAGTGCCACTCAACTTCAAAAAGGTTGAGAATCACCGATTTAGACAATCATACATATTTATTTCAATCCTGCATTCTACTTCCACACAGATTCATTCTGAATCATCATTTTATGACAGTAGTTTAATCAAGGAGCACAACAGATCACACAGCAACAGGAATTCAGAGAAACGACAACAGCAGGTAATGAGATTTGAAAGTAACCTTTGGGGATAAGATTTTCAGAGGGGCTGGAACACGTTGGGAAGCACTGTGACCTACTAAAGGATGTCTGCAGCAGAGGTATGAGGGAGGAACAGAAAACCCAAAGTTCTACTCACTCCTATCCCACAGCCCTCTGGAAAATACAAAAAGGCCACAAAGCTCCAGGTGCTAAAGAGACAGCAGTGTCTGACCTCAACAGGGAACTGAAAGAATGAATATAAATAAGTTCTTAAGATTGCAAAATACTACAACATCAAGACTTAAGTATGGAATAAATTCTCTTCCATCTTGGGCAAAGATATGCACTGTGTAGTTTTTTATTACAAGGAAACAGAAGTGAGAGCAAGAAGCTTTTACCAGCACTGCCTTAGCCTAACGTAGATCAGTGCTAGCCTCTCCCTGCCTCCAGAACTCAGAATTTCTGTTTCAGACACATCCTTCTGAAATGACGCACTTCCATCAGTGCTCGCAGTATAAGACTTCATCCTGAAGGGAAGATGTAAGTCTTGGTTTAGCTTGGGAGGAAAAAAAAAAAAGTGGGGGGAAGGTAAACTTTATGTGAAAAAAATTATATGGATCCTCAGGAGAGGTGAGAGAAAAGAAAATAAGACAGTGACAAGGGGAAAAAAGAGGATGTTGCATTTAACATCACGACATTTCTTCAAAAAGTAAAAGCTGACTATCTGAATCCCAAACACAAAGAACTCAAACTGGAGTTAAAATAATTAAAGTGTTATGATACAGAATTACACGGCTGTGATCATTAGGGTATAAATTAACAGGGTTAGGCATCTACCTTAACACAGCACAATAGGATTACAGTGGAATTGTTTCAAATGCCTACATTCAACAGCAGCTAAAATATTTTTCATACACATCAATGGAAAAGCAAGCATTAAATGTTCAGATATTAAATATTTAACTTACAGGATTAATTTTAAATATACCTCGTAACAAGATATTTATTTGAAAATTCTCTGAAACATCACTGAGAACTCAAAGAATAAAAGCTAAGAGCCTCAGGAAACCAAAAGTTTTGTTCACTGTCTTTTACTGCACAAATTAAATTCAAAGCAGACAATAAAATTGTTACCAAAACTGTCACAATACAAGCTATTTTTAAACAGTTAAGATGGGGATGCATATGATTTTCATTTAACTAAATATGTCATTGTTTTAATCGTCAGGGGTGCCATAGGAAAGCTCAGAAACTGGTAGAGAGCGTTGTGTAAGCAATCATCAGTAAAAATCTGACTAAACATCCAGATTATTGTTTTTTCAGGAGGGCAGATTCTCTGGGGCAAGAGCCACGGCTTTGTTGGCACCGCATCAAGCATAATAGCTCTGCTCCCCGCCCAAGCCTCCCAGCCACGGCAAGAAAGAGAACGGATTATTGACTCTCGGTGCGTACGGACAGATCCAGCTAGCTTTTCCCCCTGAAGAGAAGGTTCAGCATAATGGAGAGAGCAACTGTCCGTGTTGAATTGCTGACAGAAACCACGGAGTCCGCCCCCCAAGCCGCTAAACTGAGCCACCTCACGTGGAGCAGAGACGGAGCGGAAGAGCTGTGGTGCAGCTTCACACCACTGTTTGCTCTGGATTTGCTCTGGTTTAATTAACACTTGGGAGATTGACAGTTCATAAAAACGATGATGTTTGTTTCTGTTCCTTCTACTACTACTGAAAATAAATAGGTTTGTATTAAAATTTACTGCTGATTCTCTTCTATGCTGTTTAGTTCTCCCTTTTTTGACTGAAGAAAAAAATTTTTTTTTTTCCTTAGTTAAAAAAAAAAAAAAAATTTCCTTCTCACAAAGGCCACTGGACTCCTCATGGACTTCATTTTCCAAAATGAATTTGCAACTGCGTG